CCTCTTTATCTCTAATGACCCTGGATATCTGATCTGGTTCCTCATTCTTCACCAGCCTCAGGAAAGGTCTGATCACCCAGGCCTGTCTCTGGCAAGAGTTCCGCTCGGTCCATCTAGACAGGAACCCCCCTCGCCTCTAATGTTTCCTCTTAGTAATTTTCCCACTCAGCTCCTTTGCCTATAAATTTCAACTTGCCTGTGCTGTATTTGGAGTTGAGCCCAATCTCTGCCTGGCTGCAAATCCCATGGCAGTGGTCCCTATGCCCATAGCAATGGTCCTAAAGAGTCTGCCTCACTATGCTTGAACAAGTACCAAGGGATGATTTTTTTTTTCCTCTAACATCTTCACCACCTTCACACAAAAGTATTCTCATTTCAAATGGACTCCCCATAACTCAGTTACGTGGCTGTTCTGTATTCCAAATTAAGCTACAAGTATGAAAAACTACACATCAGATTTCCTCTACAGATCACAACTGAGCGATCTCCTCAACAGACCCCCTCCTGGGCTGCTTGGAAAGAGTGGGTAAGGGTGCTGAAGTGGGCTGGGGGGTGTTCTTTCTTAAATGTACTTTGGTGGGTACATTTTTCTGCTCTCCATCCCCACTTCCAGTCTGCTCTGAAGGGGGCAAATGATGAATGCTAGTGCCTTGTCAACCATCCATGTAACCTTCTTTGCCTTTGCCAACTCTCTCTCTCTCCCCCCACCCCCCACCCCCTTCCCCCCCACCGACAAGCTATCTGCTGTTTTGAGACTGCAGCTGCCTGAATGGTGCCCCACCTGCCCAGGAAAGCTACAAGTTGAAGCAGCTCCAGCCCTGGAGTGCCAGGCCTTTGTGTAAGGCATTGAGTTGCTGAGCAGAAGCAATTTAAAACCGGTTCCACCAGTGCAGCAAGGAGCCGGATTCAACTCCTCCTAGGTTTCTCCAAGTATGACAGACACAAACAGCCAGTTTCCTTTAAGGAGTCACAGGAAAGGTCAGTTTAGACGAGTGGCAGAGGGAAGACACCGATGGGAACCATTGGATGTGTTGACACATAAGCATAATGTACTGGGGAGAATGCCATGATGTAGGTGGAAAACCCTCTGAGCAAAAAGACTAGCAAAGAAGGCTTCCCAGGAGGGCTGACATTTAAACAGAGGTGAGAAGGAGAATTTGCCAGAAGGACGGTTTAATAAACTGAACCTTTGAAAAATGTCCTTAAAATCATAAAATTCCATTTAAGGTCCTCTACCAAGCCACGTGTGGTGGCACATACTTGTAGTCCCGGTGACTGAAGAGGCTGAGGCAGGAGGCTCACAAGTTTGAGGCCAGCCTTGGCAACTTAGTGAGATCTGTTCCAAAACAAGAAAAAGAAAAAAAGAAGATGGGGCTGGGGATGCAGCTCAATGATGGAGCATCCTGGGGTTCAATCCCCAGTATTGCAAAAAGGAAAGAAAAAATAAGTTCATGCTAAAACTTAACAGTATGGACTATTGAAATATGTATTAAGACAGGAAAAAAGTCTTAGATATTTAAATATATTCCATAGAGAGTAAGGAGAAATTTTTTAATTTTTAATTTTTTGGTATCAGGGATTAAACCCAGAGCACTTAACCACTGGGCCACATCCCCCTTTTAAAAAAAAAATTAATTTTTTCTTTGGAGACAGTACCTTGCTAAATTGCTTAGGGCCTTGCTAAGTTGCTGAGGCTTACTTTGAAGTTGTGGTCCTTCTGCCTGAGCCTCCCAAGTCTCTGGAAGGAGAAACTTTTAAAGAAAATTCTGATGAAACATTTCCTACCAATAGTTGAAATAGTATATTAATAAATGTAACTATCTGAATTATAATAAAATTATTTGAAAATCATAAAACAAACTATTTAAAACTAAGGGCTCTCTGACTTAAAAAAGCATAGTCAAGCTTACATATAAATATTTCAGGCATTCAAATAATGCTTATTTCTTTCATTTATTAATAAGCATATTCACAGGTATGAGATAAAATAGAGTACAGGAATAAATAGGACTCAAAACAAACTGTTAATATTGCACCTAGTAATTTTACTCCTAGATATATACCTAATAGAAATAACAACATCCATATACAAAAGCTTGGAGATGGATATTCATAAAATCATTACTTACAGCAACCAAAATGAGAAACAGCCCACATGTCTGTCAATTGATAAATGGATAAATAAATATGACACTTTTATACATTGGGATGTTATTGTCAATAAAAGGTAAGTACTGCCAGCAACAGTGGCACACACCTGTAATCCAGGTGTAAGGAGGATTGCAAGTTCGAGGTCAGCCACAGAAATTCAGCAAGACCCTGCCTCAAAATAAAAATTAAAGAGAGGGGGGACACTGGGTGTATACCTCAGTAGCAGAGCACCCCTGGGTTCAATTCCCAGTACCAAAAAAAAAAAAAAAAAAGGAAAATATCAGTGATATATACTACATACTACAAAATGGATAAACCTTGAAAACATATGAAAGACATCAGTCACAAAGATCACATACTTCATGATTCCATTTATGCAAAAAGTCCACAAGGGGCAAATTTATAGAGACATAAGACCATTAGTATTTGCCTGTATCTGGGCAGGATGAGGGTGGGGCTCAAGATAGGGAGTGACTGTCAACAGGTAGGGGAATCATTTTGGGGTGATGAAATGTTTTAAACCTAGATTGTACTGGTGGCTACACAATTCGGTGGATGTATTAAAACCACCGAATTGCATCTTTAATTTGGAAAACTTCATTATATGTGAATTATATCTCAGTAAAGATGCTTAAAGGAAAGTTCACTGCATTAAATTAAAAATATGTGTGTGGGGGGGCGCTGGGGTTGTGGCTCAGGAGCAGAGCGCTTGCCTAGCGCATGCAAGGCATTGGATTCGATCCTCAGCACCACATAAAAATAAGTAAATAAAATAAAGGTATTGTGTCCAACTACAACTAAAAATTTTTTTTAAAAAGTGTGTGTGTGTGTGTTTGGCTTCTATATTTAACTGAAATTGAGCACAGCTGTCACTAGGTTAGACCACCAACATGCAGTGTGACAAAAATCAATGGGAAAGAAGAAGTGTAAAAAAGACTTGACCAGGCTTTTCAGAAGGAACTGATTGATGCTTAACAACAAAAACCATTAACACAAATTAAAGGTGAGTTCTGAATGCCAAATCTAGACACTAGACACATATGAACAAGTTTCCCTGAAATCAGCTGCATACAGCTATTTAGCACATACTGCTCTCTGTGGAAACACAGCTGCCACCAGACAAAGAAAAGTAATTTCACTGAACAGGTTAGTTCCACATTCTTTTCCCACAGAAAGTTAAGAATTCGGGTACTAGAAAAAAGATGCAATTTCCAGAGACAAAATGTCAGGCCTGAAGTTCAGCAGTCTCAAAATATACCACAAGAGCTCTAATGACCCCCAGTGGTTACAACTGAGATTGCTTGGTTTATGATACGTGAGACAAGAACGTAATGCACGCAGCAATTACTAATATGGGGTTCCACCTATTATTTTCTTATCTTGAAAGCAGTAAAGTTTGAGTAAAAGTAAACATAGCAAATGACTGTCATAAATGTCCCTTCCCCTGATTTCTACACATGAACTAAAGAGCCCATTTCGCTGTAGCCTGTCCACAGCCTGGTTCAGCAGAGCCAGGAAGGTGTTTGTCTCCTTCCAGTTGACTGGTCAGGGTGAGTCAGTTCACAACCTGTTTTGCACCTGCAGATGCAGGAGAAGCTGACAAAGGAGAAGAGAAGAGAAATGGCTGATCAAGTGAGATAGGCAGGGAAAGTGGAAAAACATAGGGGGAGGCAGGTTGCAAACTGAAACAAGCCAGTTTGGTCATGAACAACTCTCAGATACTTTTTGGTAGCTGCCTAAGAACCAGAAGGTTAGCCTCACCACTAGGTTATATGGAAAGCAACTAACACCAAATGATGCCATTCCTAGGGTTTCACTAAACAGACCTTAGTAAATAAATATAAACCACTTGTAGAGTCCCCTGTGCAGGCTTGATGAAGCTTCTATCTGCTGGGTGAGAGTTTCATCCAATTGAGAAAGAACAGTGTTCTACCAACAGCATCCTATTGTTACTCTAGTAACCCAAGACTGACCCAAGGTCATTTATTTGGGGATGAAGCCTGGGAAACCACACACACGACTTTTCACTGGCCCAGCTGGAGTCTTCGCTCAGGTCCAAGTGCACTGAAGTATATAAATATCCTCCTCTCTCCTGTATTTCCGTCAGTCCATACCACTTGAATATCCCCAATTTCACGAGAGTCTATGTCTAACACAGTTAACAAGGCATTGGTTGCCCATACAACAGAGGTCTGATATTTGCTCTAATAATAACTAAAGCATTGGGACCCTTCCAACCTAGAAAGAACTAATGACCCCTAGAGTATTAATTCCCAATCAGAACACTAGCTGCCCCTGGGTATCATTTCAACTAACAAATGTAATGCTGTCTATGCTGCGTTATTTGAAAGTAAATTACAGATAGAACACCAGGGAAGGGGAAGAGTAGGGGCGGGACCCATTGGCCACCACTGTCCATTGCTGTCTACCTCGGCCACATCCCTTTATGTCACTGCCATTGTCCGTGCTCATGTATATTTCAGATCCATCATTTAATAATCATTTACAAGTGTCTAGCTGTGTACCAGCTATCCTGCCTGTATGACACTTCCAAGGAAAATTTAATAATCCAAGAGCATATTAAAAATTCACTGGCTGAAGCCACTAACAAATTTTGCAAAAACAAAACAGCTTCATAATTGTGTGATGGTGTTCATACCCCCCCATGGCTTCGTTGCAGCCTCAAGGAGGAAACAAGCATTTGAAGAGTCTGTAGATAAACCTTCAAGTATTAATTGTGTGATTTTTTAATAGGGAAAAAAAGACTCATAAAGGTTATATACACATTTTACAATGTTTTGTTTTCTTTAAGGACCAATGGTAATTACATCATTAAGCAACCAATTTACCTTAATTGTGATTTAGTGCATCGTAAAAGAATTGTGAATAAGAATTCTTGACGTTGTTTGTTGGTCCAGAGGTCAAACCAATGACTTATCAAAGCAACTCTTTCCTGAAAGAGCTGTAAGGGGGGAAAATGATATTTTACTGTACCTTTATATACATTCTTAGTTGCTAAGCAATCTTCAGATGATCCACTAACAACCTCCCAGCTAATATTTGCATAGCACTTTACAATTCACAGGGTGCTTTCATGAATGTGTAGGGGTCTCTCCTTTCGGCTTAAACTGTTTTTATCCAGGGATAAGAGGAGCCTGGGCTTGTTGGGTAGGCTGCTGGGAAGGGTGGTGGGGATGTAATTACAGAGAAGGAGGGAAAACAAAAAGGTAGTGTGAACTGGCTCTTGTTTTTAACCTAGACTACCATGACCCAGGGAAACAGATTCCATACGTTTTTGTCTTGAAAACACATATATGAAAAAAAAATGTGCAGTATCTCTAGCAATTAGAGAAAAGCAAATCAAAACTACACTGAGATTTCATCTCACTCCAATCAGAATGGCAACTACCAAAAAATATAAGCAACAATAAATGTTGGCAAGGATATGGAAAAAAAGGGTACACTCATACATTGTTGGTAGGACAGCAAATTAGTGCAACTACTCTGGAAAGCAGTTTAAAAATTCCTTTAAAATTAGGAATTAAATCATCCTTTGACCCATTTATCCCACTCCTCAGCATATATCCAAATGATTTAAAATCAGCATCCCACAGTAACACAGCCACATCAATGTTTATAGCATCACAATTCATAATAGCTAAGCTATGGAGCCAAACTTGGTGCCCTTCAACAGGTGAATGGATAAAGAAAATGTGGTACATAGACACAATGAAGTATTACTCAGCCATAAAGGATAACTTTATGACATTTATTAGTAAATGGATGAATCTGGAGGCTATGATGCTAAGTGAAATAAGCCAATCCCCCAAAATCAAAGGTTGAATATTTTTGTTGATATGTAGAAGCCAAACCACATAAATAAGGGAGCGTGAGAAGAAGAGAAGTTCAGTACATTAGACAAAGCGGAATGTAGGGAAGGGAAGGGGATAGGAATAGGAGACAGTAAAATGAATCGGATATAATTTTCATATATATATATATATATATATATATATATATATATATATATAAAAAACTTAGCAAATTCATCATTGTATATACCCAGAAGAATGGGGTCCTGATTAGAATAAGATATAAAAATGCATGTGTAATTTTATCAAAACAATTCTACTGTCATGTATAACTAAAAAGAAACAATAAAAATAACTTTCTAATTATTAAAAAAGAAAGAAAGAAAACACATATAGGCCTCACTCATTCCATTGCTAAAATAGATTCATTTAAGTAGATATGAATTATTGATCCACAGCCATGGATTTTCATAACACTCATGAAACTGACCATGAATAATTATTATAAAATGCTATTGTTAGTTGTGTCTCTAAGACAATGTTCCCAAAGACCAGTGTCCCCAAAACTGGGTTCCAGTCCAGCTTTGCTAGATAGGCATATACAAACTCACTGTCTTTATTACAGGTCAGGCTTTAACCCCAGCCAGTCTATTCTTCCCTTGTAAAAGAGGTTGAGCCCACGTGAACTCTGAGGACCCACTATGGTAGCTCCATTAATGCCTTGCAGACTGCCCTCCACCATTCGATGACTTCTTCCTGAATTACTGTTCAAGGGACGGGCATCGCCAGGCCACATAGAACCATATGGTGGGCACCAGAGAGAAGGAGTATTAAGGACACAGTGAGACATACACGCACACACCCTCACCACCACCACCCAGAGCATCTTCTTTCCTTCTCCTTCCCCATTACCGCAAACCACAGGTGTCCTGGGGATCTCTATTTTGACTCTGGAAGCACAGAATAAGATGGGAGGCAGATTGGGAGACTTGCAACAAAGCTAGAATTGCTTTTGTTTAAACTGACTCAAAAACTAAATTCTTTAGAGGATTTTCTTTAAAAGTATGACAACGTAAGACTCACTATTTGTAACTCACCATGTAACTCACCTGTCTATTTAGTGACTTGTTGCTAAAAGGTGTCCAGGCACTGAACCTTGTTTGCAAGCTCTCCATTTCCAGGGTTTTCCAGGAAGAATCCCCAACTGACATCACAGCAAACTAGGAACTACAGGTACATTTCAATAAATGTATAATTTAAGCCGACTTAGAAAAATCCAATACAGCAGGCACAGTGGTACACCCCTGTAATCTCAACTACATAGGAGGCTGAGGGAGGAGGATCGCAAGTCTGAGGCCAGCCTGGGAAACTTAGCCAGGAAACTTACCCTGTCTTGAAATAAAAAATAAAATGGGCCAAAGATATATCTCAATGTCAGAGTGCCCCTGGATTCAATCCTAATACTGGAAAACAAAATAGAAAAGAAAGAAAGAAAAATTATAATGTATAATTATACTGTACACACTTAATACATTAATGCTGTCCCTGTAGGAATTTTAGAATTAGAACATATATTTTAGAATTAGAATAATCCCTTTGTATGTATAAACTGTTTATAAAATTATAGTTCATGGAAGCATATGTATATGAATACACACACAGAGGATGAACCACATAAATATACACTGAGTCCATGGATTCCTAATCACTTCAATTATTCTGGCCTTACCTACTTGCAAACAAATCTAAACCTAAATAAAAGTTCTTTTTTACTTTGCCGGAAAATGGAAGAGTAGTGAATATGTTTCAGAAAATGCTATTAATAACTCAGACATTGGTATAATTTTTTTTTGAGGGGATAGAACCTGAGGACTAATGCTAAGCAAGTGCTCTGACACTAAGCTATATCCCCAACCCAAAGCATGGTTTGTTATCTGCTAGGAAGACTGACTTTTTCTTTCCTTGGAAAGCAAAAATTTGAAGTATTCAAACAGGACACCCTACCTACCCATCTTTTAGGGACGTAAGTCAGAGAGGATATAAAGGGGGAAATTAGGTTCATGTATTAGTCATCTATTGCTGCATAACAAATGATTCCAAAGTTTAACAGCTCAAAATGACAAGCATTTATAACCTCAAAGTCCTGAGGGTCAAGAATCTAGGTGCAGCTTAATGAGTACTATATTAGTTTGCTGGGTCTGCCAAAAAGAAAAAAAAATCCACAGAACAAGTGGTTTAAAAAACAGAAATTTATTTTCTCTCAGTTCAGGAGGCTAGATGTCCAAAATCAAAGTGCCATCAATGTTGGCTTCCTAGCTTGTGGATAGCCACTTTATCACTATGTCCCCACACAACCTTTCTTCTGTTGAAAAACCAGCCTCTACCTCAGAGCAAAGCCTGTCCAAGGAAGGGACATGACCTTTGTCCTTGGAAAGACCCACAGAGCACTCCTAGGCACATTCCCACCCTGCTAAATTGTTTATCTACAAATGAAATCTGCTGCACCAGGTGTCCCTGACTTAGGCTAGGTGGGGACCCATAGCAACCCCCTAACAGCCACCAATCAGCATGAGACAGGGAAATAGCTGGGATGCCAGATGACCCTCCCAGTAGTTTACGGTGTTGGGAAACCACATAGTTCAGCACGAACACCCCTCTTGGCTTAAACCAATCAATTCAAATGAATCCCCCTCTTGTAGTAACCAATCACCCCTATCCAACTTGTTCCTGCCAGTAAATGTGCTAATCATGTTTTAGAGCTGTTATTTGATTTTCCCGCGGTGTGTGATGATTTGCTAAGAGATGCTATGATGTATGTGGGGGTCCCTGCCTTCTCCAAAGAATGTATAAAACTGCTGCAAACCCTGGGCTCAGGGCCTCTCAGCGTCACCAGTTGCTGTGTGCGCGTGGAGGACCGAGCTAGCTCGCAATAAACACCTCTTTGCTGCTTACATCGATCTTGGGTCTCTGGTGGTCTTTTGGGGGTCCTGAATTTGAGCATAACACTGTGTGTACACAAAGGGAAAGGGGTAACTCTGTAAACTGGGCCCACTGTACTGACCAACCCCCACATGTTTTCTTTTGAAAAACAATTTACCTGCAGCCCTTCCTGGCTTCAGCCAATAGACAGACTACATTCCTCAGCAAAAGACCTGTTGTCTGCAGGAGAAATGCGGGACCCCAAGGCTCCTTCCTGCTGATAAGAACACAAGTTACCGTGAAGTGGGAGACTTTCTTTATACAGACCAGATTCCAGGACTGAAGGAGACAAGATAATTAAAAGTAAAACCCCCTAACCATTAAATCTGTAAAAAAAAAAAATTCCAATTGGAACCAGTAATCAAGGTGACCCAGAGTTGCCTTGGATCTTGAGATTTTATAGTAAAATCTCCCCTTCATGAGGTAATACCATATGCACTGGAGACTTGAAAGTCTGATGCAATCCTACTATCAGTCAAAAGTCAAGAGGAAGACCTGGGCAGACTCTTTGGAAACTTCCTTGGGAACCCCCAAAAAATAGGAGAGTAGGAGAGGTGAGCCATCACTCTCCTCTCTGATAGGACCTACTCTCTCCTTTGAGAGCTTCCCCCTTTCCCCTTTCCTGTCCCTTCTAATAAACTCATGCCTGCCATTATGTGCATCTTGCCCAAATTCCTTCTAATATGGTCTCAAGAACCAGTGACAGAGGACATCCATGGTTGCTACAGCTCCACAGAGGTTCTCGTTCTGCAAAAGTATCAGGACCTATTTATTATAACGCTAGTGTAAACTGGGTACAGTGGCAGGAGGAGCACAGGTTCAAGGTCAGTCTCAGAAACTCAGTGAGGCCCTGACAATTTAGCAAGATCCTGTCTCAAAAAACAAATAAATAAAATAAAATAAAAATAAAAGGACAGGGGATGCATCCAAGTTTGGACAGGGGTGTCCAAGCACCCGTGAGTTCAATCTCCCAACCCTTGCAAATAAAGCAAAAATAAATAAACAAATAAAACTAGTGTAACTAAAAACATGAAACACTGGCACAAGAATAGACAAGTAAACCAATGGAAGAGATAATTGAGTCCAGAAACAGGCCATATATGTATGGACACTTGATTTATGACCAAGGTGGCACTCAGAGTAGTGGAAAAGATGAGTCAGTGAAACATGGAGTAGAACAACTGCCCAGAGCAGCCCTGCTGGCCTCAGAATCATCAGAAATGATCACTAATGCTTTACAATACTACATTTTGGGGTACTTTGTTAATCAGAAACAACAACAACAACAAATTAGGGGTAAATTATTACCATAATTGAAACACATGGTACTGCCATTGGAACTGAAAGGGCGTGAGGAGACTGCTTAGTGGAGTTGAGGAGAGCAGTCAAATTGCTAGGAAAGGATAAGCCACAAGAAGTCTTGCATTTTGTAGCAGTTTAGTAACACAATTGCCTGTGTTATTGTGGATGATAGAAAGGGTACCAATGAATATGTAGGGCTGACTAGAGAGATTCCAAGCTGATTAAACGAAGTGCTGATGGAATTATTGAGCTCCATATGGTAAAGTCTAGTAGGAGAGAGATGAACCAACCTGAAAGATCTGTTTAGTGTGGGGCAAATGTTAGTGGAAATAGACTATCTAGCACGGTCTCCATCAGACAAAAGTATCTCAGAGTAATAAATGGCCTTATGTGGGGAGCCATTTGTGAAAAACACATGAGGATCTTCTCTTGGCTAGAAGCCAGGAAGATTTTAGGTTTAACCTTGGGAACTATGGTGGCTCTCATATGCAATAGATTGCCCAAGGCATATGACCTTTATCTTTGCTCTGCTAGGAAGATCTCTGTGATGGTGGCTCCAGAGATGGGCAAAACCGGTTGGGAACTGGACAGCCCACCTTTAACATTTTTTGGAAAAGAACATTCTATGAAAGACCTCCAATATCCCCCGATATATATAAATCAGGCGCAGGCTCCATTTTGCCATAGAATAAAAGCTCGATCCGTGCGTGTATCAGCTTGTCTGTCCCACCCCTGCTTTTGAAAATATTTTCTGTGTCCTGTGGTTCTTTCCCATTCTATTTTTCCTAGCTTTTATTTCTCAGTCAGCCCATTCCACCAAGGGGAACCCCAGCCCCTTGGGGCAAAGATCAAATGAAGGGTGTGGTTGTAAGACTCCTTATTAAAAAAATTTCAGCTGATTCCTCATAAACTCTCATTTAGGGGTGAAAAACATTTCCTAAAAATCTTAGCATTTTTGTTCCACATACCCAGTTTCACAGCCCAAGTCAGAGAAGAACCTATCTCATAAGGAGTTTTGGATTTAGCTTGTGTTGAAGGAAAATAATTACAATTAGATACATACAAAACCCATAAAATTGTCAAGAGGGTAGTTCTGCTGAAAGTATGATCAGCTTATAATAAAGCTACCAACATTGTTTGAAATAAAAATCTCCAAGGCACCATAGTAATCTGTGTGTCTCTGGAGAGAGATAACTTGTTTTTTTAAGTTCACAGGTCTCCAGATCAGGAGGAATTGTGGACAAGAAGAGTTATTTACAGTTGGATCTGATGCAGATCACAAGAGACTGGAACTTCAAGCCTAATTCTATAATTGGATGAGACTTTGAATGTCTCAGGGTGGAGTAAATGTATTCTGTACACTAAAGGCATGTGAAGGCAAAAGGTAATTTGTTTCCTTATGTAGGGCCAGGAAAAACTGCACCCATTCCTGTACCTCCATATCAGTTATCCCATCAGGAGGTGGAGTCTGTTCCTCTCCCTCCCCTTAAATCAGCCCTCGTAATGATTTATTGTAACCAATAACATGTCATGAAAGTGATCATGTATAACTTCCAGGTACAGCCTTAAGAAGACTTGCAGCTTCTATTTTTGTACAGTTGCAAGGTGAATAAATCCTGGCTTGGATTCTGAATGATGAGAGATCACACTGGGAGAGAGAGGCTAAACTACTCCCCAGCTGTTTCAGCTATCCCCAAGTGCTAGATGCATGAGTGCAGTCATCTTGGATATTTCAGTTCCAACCAAGCTCCTAAGTGAATGCACCACATGAATCACCCCAGCCAACAACACAGGAAGTGAAAGAACTGCTCAGCTGAGGGCAGCCAACCCATAGAATTGTGGGAAATAAATGATTTCTGTTTCATGCTGCTAAAATTTGGAATGATTGTTTTCAAGTATAGACTGATCAAACCATGCGTTGGTGAACATGCAGAGCTTTCAGCTGGTAAAAATGAAAATTGGTATTAAGTACTTTGGAAAATTGTTTGGTATTATTTCATAAAGTTGAACACATGCATTTACTTACCCCAACAGAAAAAAGGTACACATTTGGATTAAAATATATCAACAAGAATATTTATAGCTAAACTGGATAGCCCCAAAATAGAAACAATCCAAGCATCAGTCAACGGTTGAATGGATAAATATATTGTAATTAAATCATGTAACAGAACTCTGTTCATCAAAAAAAAAAATGAAGGACCTGGATAAATCATGCATATATCACATTAAACAAAAGAAGCTAGGAGCAAAATAATTCATTTTATATGGATCCATCCATACAAACTTCTAGCATTACGATGTTAAAAGTTAAGATAGAGATTAGCTTTGGGTGGAAAGAGGGTAATGTTTAGGAGAGGGCATAAGAGGTGACTCTGGGTGCTGCTACTGATCTACAGATGGGAACCCAGGTCCACTCACTTTATAATTCATTGAGCTCTACACTCATGATTGGCATATATTTCTAAATCCTCTATTTTGATCAATAAGTGTATAAAATGATTCAGTTTAAAACTTCAAGAAATATAAATTTTATAAAGAAAATTGTTAAACTTTATTAAAAAATCTTTTTTTTTTCCTTTTGATACTGGGGATTGAACTTAAGTGTGCTCTACCCATGAGCTACATCCCCAACACTTTTTTGGTGGGGAGGGGACTAGGCATTGAATTCAAGGGAACTTTACCACTGAGCTACAACCTCATTCTTTAATAATTTTATTTTGAGATAGGTTCTTGTTAAATTGCAGAGGCTGGTTCCAGCTTGCAATCCTCTTGCCTCAGCCTCCCAAGTAGCTGTGATTATACATGTATGCCACTGCACCCTGTTTTGAACAACATATTTGGAGTAAATGGAGAAATATGGCTTGTTCCTAGAGGACTCATTAGAGTGAAGAAATTAATTCTCTCAAATTGATCCACCAACTCAATGCAATCTTGGTAAAAACAGCCCTAAAATATATTACTGTGGAGTGTGCGTGTGGTGTGTGCACACACACATGCACATGTATATGCATATGTGATTTCAAAAAACTGATTCTAAAATATTTATGGAAGTTTAAGGGCCCCAAAATACACAATAGCTAAGCTATGGAACCAACCCTAGGTGCCCTTCAACAAACGAATGGATAAAGAAAATGTTGCATATATACACAGTAGAATAAAAAGAATTTATAACTTTTGTTAATAAATGGATGGATCTGGAGACTATCATGCTAAGTGAAATAAGCCAATCCCCAACAAGCAAGGCTGAATGTTTTATGACATGTGGATGCTAACACACAATAGTATGGGGGCAGGGTAGAAATTCACTGGATTAGGCAAAGGGGAATGAAGGGAAGGGAGGGGTTGGGAATAGTAAAGATAGAAGAGTGAATCAGACATAATTTTCCTATGTTCATACATAAATACATGACCAGTGAAACTCCACATCATGTACAACCACGAGAATGGGATCCTAATAAGAAAAAGTTATACTCCGTGAATGTATAATGTGTCAAAATACACTCTAGTGTCATGTATATCTAATAAGGAGCCCCAAATTGTCAAGACAATATGAAGGACAAGGGAGGAAGAAGTGTTTGCCGATATCGAAACTTACTTTGAAGTCATAGTAATAAGATGATGTGGCATTAGTTTGGGGGTGACACCTATAGCAGTGAAGTAGAAGTGTCAAAACAACATGGGTTACACTTACTGGTTGACAAATCAAGAGGTAGAGTTTTCCATTTAGGGGAAACAGATTTTCTGTCTAAAAAGGAAGAAAGAAATTTGACCCTTTCTCACACTTACACTGACAAGCATCAACTATCTAAAGGCTTTTCATATATACATAATCAATTACACATAGTTTGTGAATCGCCAGAAGACAAAATTATGAACAAAGGATGATGTCAGAGAAGATGATTTTGGCTC